GCCCAGCGCCCGGGCCCGGCGCGCGGCCTCCTCCAGGCGCCGCAGCAGGCGCGGCGCGCGCGGGTTCAGCTCGGCCTGCAGGCGGCGCACCACGTCCAGCAGCGGCGGCAGCGCGGCCAGCGCCCCCGCGTCCAGCCGCAGCCGCTCGGGCACCGGCAGGCCCGCGTGGCCCGGGGCCGGGGCGCTCAAGCCCGCCACCGGCAGCCGCGGGGGCGAGAAGCCGGGCAGCCCGAAGGGGTCTCCCTGGTGCTGCACCTGCGGAGACAGGCCGGTCAATGGGACCCCGGGACGCCGCCCCTCTCCTGGGCCTCGTTTCCCCATCTCCCACAATTCCGTGATAATGAAAAACAACTACCAGAAAAGTGCCCTTTACACCAGTGCCTTTGTGTCTTCATCTCTAAAATGGAAGAACACTGCCAACTTCATAAGGTTATGAGCATGTGACAATCCTAAGTCAGGTCCTGGCCCCTGGGGAAGGCACAACAAACACACTAGGGCAAGCATGTCAAACTCAAAGGCTCACACGGGCCAAATCAACAAGGTGGAAGTGTATGTGGCTGCAAAAAAACTAAAGCTCCAATTTTCATAGAAACGTAGGTTTATTTCGATAGAGACATGCTGAATACAAAGGGCTGAAATAAATGAGTCATCGTTAACATAAAATAATAGAACATTTTAATAAAAATTAATATTTTTTCTTGAACACTGACTTACCAGACACTGAATACCTGCACAAATTAATAAGCGTAACGCAAATAAACCTATTTTTCTTGTTCTCCGAAAGCGAAATATTTCCTGTTGCTCACACCAAACAAGTCAGTCCAAGACTAATGACGTGGCAATTGGCTGCTAAAATATTCGCTACTAATATTAATGGAGAGAAATGGTGCGCCTGCGTGTAAGGCATGTAAGGGAAATGAATGCGACATGATTATAGTAATCAGTCATTAGCGAACGTTGTATTTCGTTATTAATAATTATGTATAACAGGATATTGTAAAAAATTAAGTTACAAAATTTTTATTAAAACGTTCCTTACATACCGTTATATTGGCTGGGCCGCAAAAATATTCCTTGTGGGCCGCATGCGGCCCATGGGCTGCAAGTTTGACATGCTTGCACTAGGGTGCAAATCCTGTCTCCATTTACTAACTGTTCAGTTTCTTACAAAACCATTTCCCTTCTCTGAGCCTCAGTCTCATCTGTAGACGTGTGTGTATGAGGGGGGGTGGGGGGTGGTACAGCTCCTGTTCTGTCTTCCTACCAGGGATCTCCAGAGAATCAGGAAAGATAGTACGGGAACTAGTCTTTTTCACTCCCCCCCACCCCCACCCTGCAACCTCTCCCACCTCTGCACCTGCCTGGCACACAGCAGGGGCTTCGTGAATAACTGTCATATGAGTGAACAGATAAAAGCTAAAGGTGATTTGTAATTTGTAAAACTGCTATACAATACCATTTATCCTCTGCTAACATCTTGCCTCTGGTTCAGGCATTGTGCTTGCTGCTTTAAGCACACTATTCCTAATTTCCCCAATAATGGGTGTGATGGAATTATGATGACTTTGTAAGTGAGGACTCCAGGCTGAACAAGTACAGTGACTTGACCTGGGTCCTCCCTCCAGGAAGGGGCAGAACTGGGATCGGAACCAAAGTTGGTAGGATTACAAAGCTGATTCTATTATCCCACTACCGACTGTCATAACTGTTACATCATTATTGTAATGTTATCATTCCTGCCCAAGGTCACAGTAAGATTGGCAGGCCCACAGTCTGTCTGCTTCAAAACCATACCCCCCTCCACTACACTATAGTAATTTGGGGAAATATTTTCTGTTCTTAGGCAGGCCCTCTACCCAACCAAAGACATTAGCGGATCTCCCTCCTTTGTAAAAGTCCCCCGGGGATGGAATTTTTGACCCGGATTGAAACCCCTTCTTGGCCTCTCTGCATAGCACAGGTCAGAGTTCACATCTCGTCTTGTTCAAATGCCTCCTTTGACAGCTGGTGAGACCAAGGCCATGGAAGCGAGGTGACAAACCCACACAGAGTCTGGAACCTGGGTTTCCTGACTCCCAGACCAGAGTTCTCTACACTCTCAGGTTGCCTCTGTTTTAAGCACCAAGAAGGGAGCCTCCAAGCTTAGGTGGATGAAGGGGCATTTGGGGAACAGAGATGACCCTCCTCCAAGTGCTGTGTGGCCTGGGGCAAGTTACTGATCTCTCTCGGAGCCCCAATTTCTGCAGCTGGGAAATGAGGTTGAGAAAACAGGCAGTCAAGTAACCCTATGATCTATATTTCCCTGATCCCCAGGCCCCCCACACCCATCCCCACTCACATATTCCTGGAAGAGCTGCTCAGCATATTTGGTGAGGAGGCGGGCAAGGTTGCGTGTCTGATGGATCTTGGCCTCCAAGAGGGTAAGGGGTGAGACTGAGGAGTCAGCCTGGGGGTCTTCTGGTGGGAAAAGGGGGGAGGAATGAGGGCAGCCCCAAGCCCTGCTCCTGACCACTTCGGGCTGGCCCTTTCTTCCCGAACCCAGAAGCTCAGCTCTGAATTCTCCAACTTTTAAGCCAGGCAGGCTCTGTCCCATCCCAACTGAGGGAAAATGAGATACAGACATTTGCCAAACGTTTTTTCTGCATGAAATGTGTTCCCTGTCCTCAAATTACTGTTGAAATACTATTAAAGCCAAATTCAAATACTGCTCCCTTAGTATTTGATTCACTTGGACTCACTCCTCCCTTAAATTAACTTCTTTCTTCTTCTTCAGGCCATTTGTTCATACTTCCAAGTAGTTCTTTTAATGGCTCTTTTATGTGTGTGAACTGGACTCATCCTGGGAGCCATTTGAGGGTAGGGCTCACATACCTCTGTAATTGTTGGTGGAATTCAACATCACTGAAACACAGAACTTCAAACCGGAATGCGCCTTTCAGCCCATTTTACAGATTGGGAGACGTAAATCCCATTCCCTCCCTCATAGCCTTTTTACGCAAGGCGCTGGGCTGGGCACCAGACAGCGTCAATTGAATCAGCGACCAGTCTTCCTTAACACAAGCTGAAAGGCGGTGCCCGGGAAGGACTACATTTCCCGAGACGCCCCGCGCACGCGCCCGGGGCATGCTGGGGAATGTAGTACCGGCTTCTCAACTCTGGCGCCGCAACCCCACCCCCACCCCGCCTGAGTTTCCCACCGCCTATTCCTATCTTTATCAGCCTTGACTTTCCACTCTGGTTGTCATTCACTATCTACTGTGGCCCAAAGACTTCCCCTCCTAACCCTATCACTCCCTCTGGCCCCAGATCTGATTCTTTGCCAATATTCAAAGAGGACCCAGGCGTCCAGCCTCGGCCACGACCCCAGTCCTCCCCCAGGGTGGACTCGAACCGGTCATCTCACCCTGAGCCCAAGTCCCTGAAGGCACAGCCCCCGCCTCCTCGAACTCCGGCGCCAGCACCGTCCCACAGCTCACCCACAGCTCACCGCCTGTTACCTGACACCCGGCCCCGCTCTCCCCTCTCCGGCCGCTCCCTTCCCCGACCCGAAGGTAGCGGGGACCCAGACCCCAGCTTCCAGCCCTTCAGACCTCTGCTCCCCTTGGGCACTCGACAGTCACATTCAGCCCCTTACCCAGACTCCCCTCCCTCCGGCTCATGCTGGCCCCAGGCTGATCCCTTGGCCTCCACGCCCCCCTTCCAGGACGGGGAGAAGGGGGAAAGGGTAGGGGCGGGCCCGGGCGCAGCCAATCAGGGCTCAAACCCCAAACAATTCCCCCCCTTCCCGCCCCAGGCGAGATTCCTTGTCCCGGAGTCCAGTTCACTGCCTGCTCGGCGGGTTGAGCAGGGCCCTGAGGGGGGAAGCAGGTTGTGTGCCTGGTGGGTTTGGGACCTCGACCCCGGGGAGGACGGGGACCAGGGCTGGAGGCAGCCCTGCCTCAGGCCAGGAGGAGGAGAGGAGGCTCAGGCTCCGGTCTGGGACAAGGCTTGGCGCCGGGCTGCCTTTCGGAGAAAACTAGAGTTGTTGGAGAGGGTGGGGCCGGCCGGACAGGAATGTGCGGCACCCTCTCTTGGCTGGGAAGGAGTGGGGGGCGGTTCTGAGGCTTAGGTAACACCTGACCAGACACACACCTCCTTTCTTAGATACTGTATGTCCTCTGTTCCCGTTGCACCTACTAGGATAGGGACAGGTGCACCAGCTCAACTCACCTTCCCAGGCTCACACACCTGCTTTGACTGCATATAGACGTTCATTCTCACTCAGGAACAAGCTTCAGAGACAGGTGTGTGTGTGGGGGGGGGAGGGGTCTTACCCACATGTCAACCCCACTAACCTGGTGCAGACAAAAGCCCAGTCTGTCCTAGGCTCTGGGACCCAGGGATGACCCAACTTGCTTTCTGGTTCCCTGAGGAGTTCACAGTCTGATGGGGGAAACCAAAGGTAACAGCAGGTAGTGACTGAAGGGGCTGGGAAGAGGCTGTGTCTGTGAGGATGATGCCAGAATAAAGACAAAGGGTTTGCTGGCAGGGGCACAGCAGGTATGATGGAACCAGATTGTTCACAGGGTCCACAATCACATACTCATTTTTAAAAATATGTTTTTATTGATTTTTAGAGAGAGAGGAAGGGAGAGAGCTAGAGATAGAAACATGGATGAGAGAGTGAGAAACATCATCGGTCGGCTGCCTCCTGCAGGCCCCCACTGGGGATCAAGTTCGAAACCCAGGCTTGTGCCCTGACCCAGAATCTAACTGATGACCTCTTGATTCCTGGGTCAATGCTCAGCCACGGAGCCACTCCAGCTGGGCTCGCACACTTATTAACGGTGAATATTTATTGAGTATTTACAATGTGCAAGGCACTGTTCTAAGAGCTCTACACTTATGAACTTACCCTCGTGTTATAGTTGAGGAATTAGAAACAAGTGACTTATCCAGGGTGACTGGGCAACCAGAGCTGGGATTTTACCCCAGCAATTTGGTTCCCCAAATGCTGCCATAACCATCTTCCTGTACCTTAACCTCTGTGGACCTAGTCTCACCAAGACAAACAGAACCAATAGCCACACCTTTGAAATACACACACACACACAACACACATTTAGCCGTCATATCTGGCAAACAGCCTCAAATCAACCAAGACTTGCTCCTTTTAAATAAAGTTTTCCTTTATTTAAAGTACAAACATCCATGAATTTTTACAGAGTAAATATGCCCAGGGGACCAGCACCAGATTAAGAAACAGAACGTGACCAGTTCCCAGAGCCCCTCCCAGCCCCTCCCAGCCCCTCCCAGCCCCTCCCAGGCCCAAGGGTGCCCGCTATGCCGATTTCTCACACCCTAAGTTAGTTTTGTCCGTTTGGAACTTCACAGAAATGGAATCCGACAGTTTGTACCGTTGTGTCTGACTTCTTTCGTGAGACTCATTCCCTTTGTTGGGTGTAACGGGACTTCATTCTCCTGTGTCCAAGGTGTGAATGGGCTTCAGCTCCTTTTCCACTCTCCTTCGATGGGTTGTTTCCAGTCCGAGGCTGTGATCAATAGAGCTATGAACAGTCCAGTACCCCTCGCTCCTCTTGGTGCTCATACCGACGCATTTCTGATGATGCAGGTGTGGCATTGCTGGATCCTAGGGTTGGGGTGTTTTTGGGGCTCCACCAGAAAACTGCGTTTTCCAAAGTGTCTCTACCAATGTACCCTCCCCCCGAAGCACGAGGGGTCCCGTTACTCCACTTCTTCCCCTGCCCGCGGTGCATCAGTCATTCTCATTTCAGACACTGTGGTGGGTGAGCCCCACTCATCGGCAGCGCCTGGCAGGTACGTGCACTCAGTTAATGGAGTGCTGAAGGAATGGCTGAAGGAATGGCTGAAGGAATGGCTGAAGGAATGGCTGGCCAGCGTACAACTAGACAGCCTGGCGAGGGTGGACACACACACACACACACACACACACACACACACACACACACACACGTGCGCGCGCGTCACAGGCGCTCACGCGCAGAGGACGCCACCCAGACAGTCCTTCCCGTTCCCGCGCCCACGTGCTCTGAACCCACGTGCTCTGAACG